TTAAACCAGACGCCTTTCCTAAGAAGAAGACGTGTCCCTGGACACCCCGGGACCGTCGTGAGCTTGGTCCCCACGTGGCGCTTGCACCCAGCCTGCTCTTGGGGACCCTTGGGTGCTTTCAGCCCAGCATCTGCCCCTAGATAAGCTCCCCTGTCCCAAGCCCTTGGCACCGCCAACAGAAAGGGCTCTATACTGGCGTTGCCTGCGCCGGCTCCGTGACCGGGTCTAATTGAGGGGCCAGAAAAATCCAAATAAATAGATAGCTCTGGTCGATCAAAGAGTTTTTCATGCGGATCAAAAGTGGCCGTGTGCCTCTCTAGGGACTGGGGATGGAGAGCCCCAGCCTCCTGGGGCCTCGCTTGCCCTACAGCAGCACCACCTGAAAGGGAAACTGCCCACCTCTAATTCGGGGTTTTATGTTTACCCACCCCGGCGGTGGCATTGGCCGTCTTACAGGGAGGCTTTTCAGCTTTTCCTGGTGGAGAAAAGGGAAGAGGAGGAGCGGGCTGGGACCGTTTCAAAGTTCTTCCAGTGACACCGGCGGCTGGGGCAAGCGGTCCCGATTGGCACCGGTGGGAGCCCATCGAGGACGGGCGTGGGTTGCTGCTGTCCCTGGCTCCTGGGGACGCTGCCGGGGTCGGGGTGAGGGTTGTGCCCCAGAGCAAGGTGCTGGAGCTTCAGCGGGGTGATTCCTCTGCAATGGCAGCAGATTCAAAGTGTCACCCTCACCTCCTGCAGAGCCATGGTTCTTAGGGTCTCCAGAGAGCAGGACCTGGTTTCTGCTCCCTAAATACTCCTAAATGTGGTCTTTCCAGCTGAGGAGACCACAAAGCCAAAAGGTTCAAGATCAGAAAAGATTCGTATATCACTGTCATACTTTTGGCTCCCAGATCCTTGGTTTGATGTAGGAATTGCCTGTGGTTGTGCTCAAGGTCCCTCGCAGCCCCATTGCTTTCCTGCTAGTGCAGGGACAGGATTTCTGTGGGGCAGAAAGCGGCTTGTGGGGCTCCCAGCTCCTGTGGGACCTTGTTGTGGTGCTCCCATGGCTTTCAGAGTCAGACCTATAGGAAAAATCTCAAACAGGTTTTTGTAACAAAGCAAGAGTAGCACATTGCACTGGTGAGAGCTGGGATGCGGTGTCCACTGAAGGAAGGAGTAAGTTTCTCTGCTGTTGTACAACACCTCACTGATGTATGCAGGTGTACCCAGGCTACCCAACCCTTCACCTCTTACTAAAACGTCAGAGCTGTCCCCTCAGCCCCAGGGCATCATCTTCTGCCTGTGCCGAAATAAAAATCGGTGACCCAAGGAGGGCAACAGGGGCGAGCGGTGTGGCAGAGCCTCCCAAGGTTGGGACCCGTCCGTGCCAGTCAGAGATCACCCTACCTATGCTAAATTTCAATATGTTATCAGTAATTCCCTGCCCGCGGCTTCTGGGGAACTTCTGACCATCCTCCAGGCTGGGTATTTTATCACGTGCTGTCCTTGGGACTGCAAGGGCGGGGTGGAATGGGGTGGAGCAAGGCTGGGGCGTCAGGATGGGATAGGTGCGATTCGGGTTACTACACAGGGGTGAGCAGGGTTATTTCTGCTGCCAGGAAGTGATAAGAGCTTTTAAACATCACTTGGCAGTGCAGAGGTTAAAGTTCTATCATACCAAAGGGTTTCTAAGAAAACCTCAGAGCTGTTCGGCCAGGGTTGGAGAGGGTTAAGGAATGGTGAGATCTAATCTGAACTGCTCCTTCATCAGTCTCAGATGAGTGGCCACACATAAAACCAAACGGGGCATATCTGTCCATTTGCCTGTAATTACTTATTTCCACGCCGGCTGCTGGCGATCACAGTTTTCCCACGTAAATGCAAAGCTGAAAAGTTCTTTGTGCTTGAGGGCAAAGCTAGACAGGGGAGCTCCCACAAGCTCCTGGTTCCTCGGTTCCAAGTTGGGGCTCCTGTGTTTCAGGGTGCCTGGAGTCCCTAAGAACAATGCTATCCTCTGCCCTGGGGAGTCCGAGAGGCATCACGGTGTCCCACCAAGTGGGTGTCATTGTGCAGCCTGTGCCTCAAAACCCTGGTGGTACTGATCACAATCCAGCCCCCGGGGCCAGGAGAGTTTCAAGGCTGGTGATGTTTGGTCTGGGTTTGTTTTGGGGTGATTTTTGTTTTGGCTTTAATTATTTGGGTTAAATGTTTCAGATTTTAACCCCAAGCTCCTTCTCTAGACTAACCCAAAGCGAAGGTGCCATCTGCTTGGTAGAGATGGTCTCGGATCTTTCTGGCTCTAACAGGGAGCAGGAGGCTGAGGGCTGTCTCCAGCAGGTGGCGCCCAGGCTGGCACGTGCTTCTGTCACCAAGAGGGCAGGTGAGGGAGAGCCATGACACCAGTGCCATATCCATCTCCTTCAGCTCCTCAGCTGAGGTCCCTTTCACCCACTGGCAGGGCAAGGGGCTGTGGGTGCCCACCAAGCACCTTGTGTGTCCCCTCTGCATGGGAGTAGCTGGAGACGGGGCTGCCCTTGAGAAGCTGTTGGGATCTCCATGGGCATGTGGAGGCCATCTGCTGCCTCTGTGCCCAGTGCTCATAGGCATGGGGAGATGGCCCGAGGCAGCTGGAGCAAGCAGGACTGCAGCGGGAGGAAATTGGTGCAGATGTACCAGCTGTGGAGGGGAGCCAGGTGCTCGGGGCAATGTAGAGCAGATGAGCAGAGCAGGCAGTTCCTCTCCTCCACAGCAGCAGGGGAAGATACTTCAACTGTGTGCATAAGCAGGTTGCAGGCTATTTGGTGCATCAGTAATCTCTGGGTGCAGCCTTCCTGCTGTCCCAAGGACCTCGGAAGGGTCCCTCTCAAGCCCCCAGGGAGCTCCAGGGTTTGTCCCATGAGCCAGTGGCTTCCCCAGGTGATGGGTCTGCAGCAGGGGAGAGCAGTGGGATGGCTCCACAAGGGGCTGGGTTTGGTCTCCCACCCCCAGTGCCCCCAGCCACTCACACACCCTGGGCATGCTGGTATCTGGTTTGCTGCAGGCTGGGAAAATCTGTTCCCAGCCCCTAGCCCTGCAGTGGTGCAAACCCCCAGCGGTGCGTCCACACTCCGTCCTGTCGCCGCAAAGCGGAGCGATGGGTCTCGAGAGCTGGCCGGGCAGCTCCCGGAAGTGTTGGTTCCCGAGGTGGATGCAGGGTTAGGGACACGTTTTTCCCCACCAAACCTTGAAGATTGTCTCAAAGAATGATTTTTCTGTCCTGATCTGCCATTTTGAAATGAAACCGCGATGCCTGTTTCACATCAGCTCCTGGGGTCTTCCCAGCCCTGTTTTCTCAGTGGTGTGTAACCTGTGATGCCAGTCTAGGGCCATGGGCAGCACATCTGTGTTTTGGAGCTAATGCTTACATGGAGAGGATAATTCCTTTCTCTTCTTGTCCTAAACTTCAATGTTCAGATGGCTAGAACAGGGGTTTTCTTTGGGAGTTCCCTGCAAAACAGCTGCTCTGCTGAAGCTCTCATCCTGACCTGCAGTTACGTGTGGTCCCAGAGCCACCCCACCAGCGGGATGCAGGTGGGAAGAGCATAAATGGAGGTGTCCCAGAGCTCTTCCCACAAGGCTGCTGCCTGCCAAAAGGTGATGGGACACAGATTACGAGCATTCCATGACCCCTCCAGGAGATGCTCTTGCAGACAAGCTTCTCACAGCCTGCCGTTTCCTCTCCTTAACCCCCATGTCTTTTTCCTTCAGGAAGAAGACCATCTACAAAACAGTTTGCCTCTCCTTTTTGCTGGTGATCACAGTGACGGTGCTGCAGCGGGGAATGGCCCCCAGCCAGTTCATGCAGGGCCAGCAGCAGAAGGAGCTGTCCCCTCCAGAGCCCTTGAAAACGCAGAAGAGAGACAACGCCTTCTCCATCACCAGCAGTTTCTGGAAGAGCAAGAAGGAGAAAGCTGCTGTGAAGGTGGAGGAGAGCGTGACAGCAAGGCAAACGAAATCCTGGGATGTTACCACTACCAACTGCTCAGCCAACCAGAACTTCAGCAAGGTGGACTGGTTCAAAGGGCTGGAGCCCAACTTCCAGCAGTTCCTGCTCTATCGGCACTGCCGCTACTTCCCCATGCTGATCAACCACCCCGAGAAATGCAGTGAGGGTGTCTACCTGCTCATTGTGGTCAAGTCTATCATCACGCAGCATGACCGCCGTGAGGCCATCCGGAGGACCTGGGGCCAGGAGAAGGAGGTGGAGGGTAAGAGGATCAGGACGCTGTTCTTGCTGGGCACGGCCTCCAAGGAGGAGGAGAGGGCAAACTACCAGAAACTGCTGGATTATGAGAACCGCATCTATGGGGACATCTTGCAGTGGGATTTCCTGGACAGCTTCTTCAACCTCACCCTCAAAGAGGTCCATTTCCTGAAGTGGCTGAACATCTACTGTGACAACGTCCGCTTCATCTTCAAAGGTGACGATGATGTGTTTGTGAGTCCCAGCAACATCCTGGAGTTCCTGGAGGACAAGAAGGAGGGAGAGGACCTCTTTGTGGGGGATGTCCTCTACAAGGCCAAGCCAATCCGGAAGAAGGAGAACAAGTACTACATCCCCAGCGCCCTCTACAACAAAAACAACTACCCACCCTATGCAGGGGGTGGGGGCTTCATCATGGATGGACCCCTGGCCAAGAGGCTGCACAAGACCTCGGAGACGCTGGAGCTGTACCCCATCGATGATGTCTTCCTAGGGATGTGCCTGGAGGTCCTTAAAGTATCACCTGTTGGGCATGAGGGCTTCAAAACCTTTGGCATTGTGAAGAACAAGAACAGCAAGATGAACAAGGAGCCATGTTTTTTCCGGAGTATGTTGGTGGTTCATAAACTGCTGCCTCCAGAGTTGCTCCAAATGTGGGACTTGGTCCATAGTAACTTGACGTGCTCGAGAAAACTCAACATCCTTTAGCTCAGTCTCTCTGGAGAGCTGGGGCTGGAGGGGCTGGGACAACTGATCCTTGCTCCGGGGTGGGGTTGAGCCTCTGCTGGTGGCACACAAGTTGTTTCGGGGGCATCTCCCTCCAGGGTGAGGAGGGCAGAGACACTGCACTCCTGGGCAGGGTTTGTGATAGTGTTTGTTTGTTCCTGTACTGTAATGTGGTTCACCTATCTCCAGCTGGGTTGGGGGTTGCTGAAAAAGAAAAGAGGAAAAGAAAAAAAATACCACAACAAATCTAGCACAAAATGAAGAGAGAATGAGAGAGAGAGCGAGAGAGGGCAGATGGGGTTGTACTCTGCTTTAGGTACCACCTCCACCGGAGCATGATGAATGCTAGGGTGAGGGGAGGCAGGGAGGGATGTGGCACAGGCCTTTTTTGGAGATGTTCAGGGTCTGGCTATCCAGGGCAGCTGCTCCAAGGTATCTAAGAGGTTTACAAGTGAGTTCTCCATGACTTAGAAGTGATTTTATCATCTCAAGTTTCTCCTCCATCCAAGGTTTTAGTGACATTGACCCTGTGCACACTGGATTCACCCCTGCCAACATCTGCTCTGGCCCCACCATGCAGCTGAGGAAAGGGGATCTCCTCTAAGGCCAGATCTCACCAGCCCCGAGCTGCCATTAAGGTGTCAGCCAGGGGACTGGGGTCTTTGTCCCCAGCAGAGGGTCCCACAGCAGGCTGGGCTGTGCTTGCCTCCCCAGACCCTCTGCCAGCCCTCCCTGTGCGTGCACTTGGAGGAATGCACCTGGCAAAAATTCCTCAGGGATCTGTTCCTCCTGGCAGGAATGGGAAAGGATGACATGGGCTGCCCTTGCCTGTGGCCAAGGAAGTGGCAGAGAAACTTTGTCAGCCCAGCGGAGGCAGCCCAGGGGCTTATGACACCTGGCACCCCAGCTTGGGTGCAGGCATCCTGGGGCTTGCTGCCCTTGTGGGGTTGCCTTGCAGGGGGACAACAGCCCCCAAAGACCCCATACACAGCTGCTTTGGGCTCAGCACCAGTTCAGTGAGCGTGATGCTCCTGGATGGCTTGGAGAGCATTGGTCCCACCCTGGCACACGGAGCAGGGTCCAAGAGCTGGTATTTCAGAGCAGATCTGCTCTTCTCAGGGTTGTTGCAGTGTTTACTCTACAGGATGAGGTCCGGGAGCATGACAGGGAGTGGTATCACAAGACAGGACCCTTTTTCTTTGGGCTGAAAGGGCCACTGGAGCTGTGGAGAGGAGCGCTGAGCCGGCTGCTGTGATGGAAACCTCCCCAGTAGAGAGACCCAGACCACCAGCCACCGGCTGCAGGTGGGAGCAAAGCCACAGCCCTGTGCAAAGCCACACACGTGCATGGGCACCAGCGTGTCCCCTCCCAGGCACCGTCTCTGCTCGCACAGGTGTCCCCATGTGCTGGGCCTGCACGCCCTGGTGTCCCTGCCACGGGAGGACACGCAGCCACATCCACGGCGCTGGCCACGCGCGGCGAAACACGGGTGTGCGCGCTCTCCCGCTCGCTCTCTCCCTCTCTGGTGCCAGACATTGAAAGGAAAAAATTCTGACTACCTCAAAGGTCCCCCTGTGCAGTGCTTTTTTTTTTTTTTTCCTTTTCTTAGTGTGTTTTGGAAAGCGGCCCGTTACATTTACTCCAAGTCTGTACGTTCCCCAGGTTAAAAAACAAACAAAAAAAAAATGGCATAAACCAGCCAAAAAAGGCACCTTCAAGCCAAGCTGCAACGCTTCTTGGCACATGTTCCTCCTCTGCTCAGACAAGATGCGGATTTGAAGAGGAGGAAGAGAAAGAGTCCATGGCTGCCCGGGGCTCAGCCGTTGGTGGCAATACTGTGAAATGTGATTTTTGATGCACCCAGCGGCAGCGCGTCCCAGAGCGAGCGCTGGCAGAGCCCCCACGGCATTTTTGGTGCCCGCTGGGCTTAGGCAGCACACAACACTCCTTTGCTTTCCCGTCCCCTCCCTCCTTCCAACGGGACCGAGTTCAGAAATACTTTCCAAGCTGACACCTCTGTAATTGATGCCAGGTACAGTACATGAAGTGTATTCATCCCCCATGCAGGGATGGCTCTCGCTCTCCGTAGCAAAGCGTGCGGTGAGCCGGGGCTGCGTGCAGAAATCTCTCAGTGTTGCTCTTCACCTGGTGGGACCTGTACAGAGAAACTTTATAGATTTGGTGAATGTCCTAGTCTCAAAATAAAGGTTAAAAGAAGGAGAAGGAAAAAAAAAAAAAAAAAAAAAAACAACAAACAAACAAGTGAGCTCTCACCTCATGTCATTGCTAGCATGTTTCTGCTTGCCAAGGCAGCCCTGGCTGGCTGCAAAACCTGGTAATAGGCTACCATGGCAAACCCACCACTTGGAGTGGGCATTTGGGGGCTGTGGATGAGTTGTTTGGGCTTGGCATAGTGTCTTTGTTGGTGTGGTGGTTAACAAGGGTGAGTGGTTATCTTCTCACTTCTATGCACTCCACCAGCTGCATTTCAACCCAAACTGAAGTTCAGTTTGTCCTGGTGCCCTGCAGTGAGGAGTCTTCACCTTGCCCTCCATAGGAAGAGCCTCTTAGGCAGGTTTGGAAACTTGCCTGTTTTCTCCTCGCGCTGAAGGAGGTAGACACCTCACTGTCCTTATCACCCTCTCCCATTGCAGGACCTTGCTCGCTGCTCTTTTTTCCTTCCCTCCAAAGCACCACCACAGGGTGACACCTCCCCTCGCCATATTGCAGTGGGATACACATGCAGGTTGGCAGTGATCCCAGAGCAGAGCAAACTGTGTCCCCAGGGACAAACTCCACCAAGTTTGAACCTAGCTGGGGTGAAGAGGGAAAGACATGGATGAGCCCATGGGTCTCACCTTAGTGTTTGAGCACTGTGGGCTCATGTTTCCAGGTCTGGCACCTGGCTCAACTGTGGAGAGGCCAGCAAAGGGGACCAGGACACACTGGACATGGAAGGCTAGGCCACCTGCCATGAGGGCCAGCTTCCCTCTGGCACCAAAAATCTCACGTGTGGAGACAAAAGGCAAATGCTGAGTGGATACACTTGTAGCAGCTCTTGCCCTTTCCCTCTCCATCTGTGACCCGGGACTTGTCTCCCACTCTGTGACTCCTCTGCAAGGTGCCAGCATGTGAACAAATGCTCCAGGCAGGGATCCAGGGTCCTGGAGTGGAAGCAGCACCCATGTTAAGGTGTGAATGTGCAGCTTGGCCCCATGGGGCAGGGCTGAGGCTGACTGCAGGACCACAGAGTTACAGCAGGGATAGGGGATGGGAAGGACGCTGCAGCTCCCAGAGCACTTCACACTAAGAAGGGGAGGTCTTGGAGCTCTGCCTGCTCTTTGCACAAAATTGTAGAAACAGAATGGTTTGGGTTGGAAAGGACTTTTCAAGAGCAGCTAGTCCAACCCCCCCCTTACAGTGACCAGGGCCATCTGCAATGAGAGCACATTGCACAGAGCTCTGTCCAACCCCAGCTTGAATGTTTCCAGGGATGGGGCTTCTACCATCTCTCTGGGCAACCTGGGCCAGGTTTTTATTACTCTTATTGTTAAAAAACAACAACAACCAACCAAACAAACAAACAAAAAACAATAAAACCCAAACCCAACGAATTCTTCTGTCTATGTCTGAACCTCCCCTCTTTTAGTTTAAAACCATTCCCTCCTCTTGTCACAACAGGCCCTGCTAAAAAGATTGTCCCCATCTTTCTGATAGTCCCTCTTCGAGCACAGGAAAGCCGCAAGGTCTCCCCGGTGCCTTCTCTTCTCCGGGCTGAAGGCGCCCAGGGCCCATGGCAGGATACACACAGGCCGAGGACACGCAGGTCATACAC